AAACAATGGAAATTATTTTTTTGCCAACAGTACGGTTAGCCCTAACAATCCATGTTTTCCTTATAATTTCTATGTCTCTTTCTAATAATCCCTGTTTACATTGAAGTCCTTTGAAGTAAGTGTTTTAAAGTTCTTTTCTGCTAAATCTACCATTTCTAATATGATAGTTTTACTTCTGGTAATTGATTTTTCTTACAATTATGGGTAATATTTTCCTACTTTTCCAACATTAGTTGAAATAAGTACTTATTTGGATGCTGGACATCACAAACATTTTAATATGAAGTGTCAGAATCATTTTGCTCTAGTGTTTAGCAGACAGTTGATTTACTTATACTCATGCTAATCCTTTTGAAGTTTAGTGTTGCTATCTACAAGAGTGGAGCTTAATTCACTCTTTCCTCTGAGACCTTTTCTTCTCCCTTCTGCTGTCCTCATTGAATGCACTTAGAACACAGTGACTGTGTTCCCTAGGGTTTTGTAGTTCCCATCATACAGATTCTTGATAGTTTTTCTTTCCTTACAGTTGATGTTATTTTGACCTTACCGAGTCTCATATTAATAAGTGCAGTTTAAGGGCCATGTAAAGTGTAAAAAAGTTCCATGTTAATTTCTTAATCACTTTCTCCACTGAAATAGTCAGGTCCATATTTTCTGGGCACTTCAGAACACTTCAAGATGATGTTTTGTTTTTATCTCAGCATGACCATTGTGTTCTTCTGTGCCACCACCATGCCAGATCAGGATCAAATTATTGTGTCCCTTCCCCACCATGGCCTAGCACTGTACCGACAATCATCAAACATCTTAAAATGCATGTTACATATATATTCTCCCAATTTTCCATTGTTTTTGGCAGCAGATAATGTTATTCCTTCCCTCCCATGTTTTACAATATCAATTTTAATGCACATCTTTTAAAAATTTAAGTCAAAATTCCAAGATATTCTAATACAAGTGTTTTGGGGAGTATATTGTTCACTTCCTTTCAAGACTGAAGAAACCAAAATAAGAGTAACTGAGGTATTTTCAGGGTTCTAGAATGAGAGAGTCTTGCTCATCAACCCCTCCATGATGGGAACTGAGGCTGCCCGGCTAAGTGGAAGTCATCATTTCATGACAGGAACTTGCCCACTCAAACAATGGCTAGTTCCTCAAAGCCAGCAGGACCCCGCAGAGCCAGACTTGATGTGATTATCAATCAGGTCACTTTTTGATGAAGAATGCCTGACTATGCATAATTTTTGCCCCTGTTTTCTGTTCGTGCCCCATATTAACTGGAATCTCTTATCACCATCTTGAAGACAGGGCTTAGGACACTGGGACCCTGTTTCTTCACCATAATGTCACACTGAATAATATCAGTATCAACACTACTTGTCCCTGATTGGACTCTCCAGGTGGCAGGTGGCCCAATCTGGTCTGCTGGGATTGCCAGAGTCAAGCCTCTGGTTAAGAACTCTGATAATATCTACTCCTGCTCATTTTGTTTTCCATTTGTACAGATATCTTTCTTTCTCCCCTTACAATCTTGTATGTTCTTGAAAGTGAAGTTCTTGGTTTTTTAATAAGGTCTTTTTTTGTTGTTTTTGCTAAGATTTTACTTTGGAATCTCAGTGTAGTTTAAATTTGCATTTCTCTAATTGCTAAAGATACTGAACATTTTTTCATTTATGTTTTTCAACCATTCATATTTATTCTTCTGTGAAGTATATATTCAATACCTTTGCCCACTTAACGACTGGGTTATTTATTTTTCTAGTGTTAATTTTTTTTTAGTTCTTTATATAACCTGGAGATTAATGCTTTATCTGAAGTACAGGTGGTAAAGATTTTCTCCCATTCTGTAAGCTCTCTGTTCATGGTGCTTAATTGTTTCCTCCACTGCAAAAAAGTTTGTTACCATCCCATTTACTGATTCTTCATTTTAATTGTACTTTAGGAGTCTTATTGAGAAAGTTGATTCCTAAATCAACATGTTGGAAAGTTGGGCCTACTTTTTCTTCTAGTAAGTGCAGAGACTCTGGACTAATGCCTAGATCCTTTATCCACCTAGAGATGAGTTTTATGCACCTGATTTACTCCTCAGCTTATACTCAAAGAACTTAAAATCAGCATACTAGAGTGATGCAGCAACATCAATATTTATAGCAGTTCAACTCTTAATAGCCAAGCTATGGAAATAATATGTGTCCTTCAACTGATGAATGGGTAAAGAAAGTGTGGCATATATACACAACAAAATATCACTCAGCCATAAAAAGAATGAAATAATGGCACTTTCCAGCAAATGGTTGGAACTAGAGAATAAATACCATAATAAGTGAAATAAGCCAGTCCCCAAAAAAAACAATGGCTGGATATTCTGTCTGCTGTATAGATACTAATCCAAAACAAGGGAGGGTGTGGAAGAGAATAATGTAAATCAATTGGATTAAACAAAGGGGAACTAAGGGAAGGGAATGGGAAGAGGAGTAGGAAGGACAATAGAATTAACCGCAAACATGACCAGGGTAACTTGGCATTATGTACAACCACAAGAATGGGATCCTAAATAGAATAAGTTATACTCTATGTGTACATAATTTGTCAAAATACATTCTACAGTCATATGTAACTAAAAAGAACAAAAATAGTAATAAAAAAGACTTTACTTTGAATTTTCCCAAAAGAACTATTTAGAAATAAAAAAGTTAAAGAAAAATATAAAATTCATTAATTACAAGTTTTTTGAAACATGATTTCTAAAAATCACGTACAGAAATTTTGTTTGAAGAAAATATACATCAAAAAGTGAAGAATTCATATAAAAGCCGTCATTTATCACTGAAAAAGTATGTGTGTGTAAGTATTATATAATTTATATGTACATATAGTAAATGTTAAAAATCTGCTCTGGGAGGTCAGAAGGAAGATGTCAACAACAACAAAAATATTTTTTCAGAGGCTGATTACCACAATTACTTTAAAACTACATAAAAGTTAAGCCTACTTGCGTATTTAAAATTTATGGTAATATTTAATTGTTATAACCAAAATACCTGTTATCTACCACATAAAGGTAAACAGGTTTATTTTGTCTCATGGCTTCATCGGTTTTAATTCATGGTCAGTGGCTGTATTACTCTGGGGAGAGACGGGGCCAGGGACAAGATACCATCCCTAAGAGCATGTCAATGACCATATTTCTCCATCTAGATCCCACCTTCCACTAGTTCATTCATCCATCCCAGAATTAATCTACACTGATGAGCTCAGAGCCCTCATGATCCAATTGCTTCCAAAAGCTCCTCCAATGAACATTGCTGAATGGGGGACAAAGTCTTTTGACACTAAGCATTTGCTGGACATTTCATATCCAGACAAATAATACAAGGTACATAATACCTTTCAAATTGCCTACAGATACAATATAGTTCAATATGAAAAAGAGAAAAAAGGAATGCACTATCTGATTTGGATTAAAGACATGCTTAGTAAACTTAGTATTATCTACACACACATACACACACACACACACACAAAAAAAAAAAACTTGTGGATGTCACCTCAACCATTATTTTAAGACTATCAATGTTAGAAACACAGAGTAGAGGTCTATAGGCAGAATAAGATCCTCATGAACAAAATATATTCATAACATTTCAGTGTTTCCTAAGGAGTATATTTTAAGGGTTACTCAAAACAAATAAATTAATCCATTGCACTACCCTATCATTATTTACTGGATAGTTAAGATAGCTTACATTTAAAAAGTAATTATGGATGGATGTTTAATATTGAGTTGTATTAATTGTTTTCCGGTTATTTTGAAAAACTTTGTTTCTTTCTCTCTTGTTCTTTTTATTTGTTGATATTTTATAGTGATGTTTTGATTCCTGTCTCTTTATCTCTTGTGAGTCTATTAGAATTTTTTGATTTGCATTTACGAGATTTAAATAAAATGTGTTGTTATGCTAGTCTATTTAGCTACAGCAACCTAACTTCTCTTACGTATAAAAACTCTGCAGTTCTAATCATCTTACACCCACATGCATGATTTATGGTTTTGATGTCACAGTTGTTGTTGTTATACAGTTCTCTTTACTGATGCTTTCAGAATTTTTCACCTTTTATTCTTTTTTAAAAAGAAATCCTCTTCAGTTATATATAATACCAGGATCACAGAGCAGGAAACACAACCCATTCCAATTCAGTCCCAAGCATGACTCACCTCCACATATATCCCCCTCATTCCACCCATCACACTTCAATGCATTCACAGTTTACTTTTTAAAATTTAGTGTCCTACGGATATGCTTGATGCCAAGACCCACTGTGCCACATCCATACATGCACATATGAGAGTTCAGTCAGCTTTATTCCATTGCTCTTCCCTTTTCCTGCCACTGTTTTTCTCCTCAAGCCCCTTCATCGACTCTACCAATATATCCTTCATTTTGATGAAATTTCCTCTCATTTTTTTAAGAATCTTTCACTTTAAAAAAGCTTTTCTGTTTCTGATTGTTTCATTATAATGTGTCCTTTTTAACTCATTTTTGAGCTCCCTGTACCTGTACTTTAGACCAAAGAGGTCTAACAGTTATATAGAGAATTTTGCATCCAAGAAAAAAAGAATACATATTCTTCCCTAGAACCATGTCCACATTACATTATATCATAGGACACAAAATATTTTTAAAAGTTTAAATTAAATCAATAAAATTCATAGTTGAATTACAAAATAAAAAATAAACAAAATTGACATGCCCTTAGGTAGACTAACATAAAAGAAGATTTAAATAAATAAAATCAGAAGTGGAGATATGTCAACTATATAAAATGATCACCTCATTATGTCTGAGTATATCAAAATCTTCTTATTGCAGATCTTAAATTAATAAAATAAAGAAACATTTTAAAATAATGTTTTCTTCCTCATGGTTTATTTTGACATGATTCCATAATGAATTTTATTTTTTAAATTTATTTTTATTTTTTAATTTTTTTCATAATGAATTTTAAATAAAATGCTTACACTGATTCTTAAAAACCCTGTGGAAAGCATTTTTTACCTCTTTGTTCCTTAAGCTGTAGATTAAGGGGTTAAGCATGGGAATCACCAAAGTGTAAAACACAGAGGCTATTTTATCAGTCTCAAAAGAGTGAGAGGATTTAGGTTGCAAGTATATAAAAAAGAGAGATCCATAGAACACTACCACCACTGTCAGATGAGAACCACATGTGGAGAAACCTTTTTTTCTGCCTTCTGCAGAATGCATTCTGCATATGGCTAGCAGAATCAGAAGGTAGGACACTAGGACAACTAGGAGGGATGAGATCATGTTAAATGCTGAAAATAGTATGATCAACAATTGTATTTCCTGTGCATTTGAGCAGAGCATAGGTAACAAAGGAACATCATCACAGTAGAAATGACTGATGATCTTAGAGCCACAGAAGTTCAATGTAAAAATCTTAATAGTGAAAAAGAGAGCCTGAAAGGTGCTATAGAGGTATGGAATGCCCACCAGCACATGACAGAGTCTCTGAGACATGGTAACATTGTAGAGCAAAGGGTTGCAAATGGCCACATAGCGGTCGTAAGCCATAGCGGACAAGATGAAAAATTCACTGATAATGAACACAAGGAAGAAAGCCAACTGTGTAGCACATGCATAGAAGGAAATGATATTTTGATCCACAAAAAAATTCACCATCATCTTGGGACAAATGACAGTGGAATTGCCAAGGTCAATGAAAGCCAGATGTCTGATAAAAAAATACATAGGTGTGTGCAGACGGGAGTCCAGCTTGGTCAGAATGATCATGCCTAGGTTGCCCATCACTGTGAGTGTGTAGATGAGGAGGAAGACCCCAAAGAGGGGAAGCTGCAGCTCAGGCCGCCGGGAGACTCCTGCCAGAATAAATTCGGTCAGCACTGTATGGTTCTGTTGGCCCATTTGGTCCAGTTTTCCCTTCTGGGAGGAAAGAGAGAGTTTTATCCACTTTTATTTTTTTTAATCTCATCTAAAATAGCAATAATATTTATAGGCTGTATAGGGAATTTAATCATAACCTTGGAAATAAAAATAGTTTATGTATCTAACACTTAAATTAGAATAAACAGTAGAATCTTCTAACTACCATGAGAACATATCCATTTGTACTATATTAAAAAATCAGCAGATTCACAATGTTTGGAACACATGCATTGAAACAAAACCATAGAGGTACTGATGATGAAAGATTCAATTTTATTTCATCCACAAAATGGATTCACAGTTTTTCTTTAGTTAACATTCATTTTTGTGTGAGAGTTTTTTGGAATTTTTATATTTTAAAGAGAAGGAAACAGCATAAACAGAATGGTATAAGTATTAGAGATCCACATCTGCAATTCAAAGGTTGTGCAGAAGACTCAGGGATACACTTCTAAATTTTATCTCCTTGTAAATATGAATGTAAGGGACTTAGCCATGACCAGTTCATCCCAATGCCTTCTTTTTGGATCTTCCATTAATATGGCAGAGCATTGGTGGGGTCCAGCTAAGGGACCTGAGTTAATTACATTGTATTTGAGGGTTGGTGAGTTTAGGCATATCATTCAAAGTCAATAACATTTATCATTGAATAATCCTTTCATTATGATGAAATAATGGATTCAAAGGACATGCCTACTATCCTGTATCTGAAAAGTGCCTGGAGTTTAAGTTAAAAAGTTTTTTTATATATATATTTCATGTATTTTGACCATCAGTTTATTTATAATCAATATTTTAGAATTGTTTTTCTACTCTGCAGGTAATCATATTCATTTTTAGCTTACACGTATGATTTTATTTCATTGTTGAAAAGGAAAGCCCCAATTAACATAAGCTTATTAAGAAAAAAAAAACAAAAAACGTGATCTGGAGCGATTCCTGCAAAGATATGTGGAATATATTATTCAAGGATTTCAAGTATTTAATTCATATATTTTTGTTTCCTTTAAGATAACATTGTAGAAATGCAGTAATATATCATTTATATTATTCAATTACCTTGAGTTTTCAGTTGCATATTTAATGCCATACTGTGGGTATCACAGAATTCATAAATCACATACACCACTTGAACATTTATTTCAGTAGTTATTACTGAATGTCAAATTTCCTGAAATTTCATAATTTAGATTTTATAAAGTATACAACCATAGTTTTCAAATATTTCGGAGATAAATACCTTATCATTTATTTAATGAATTTATATGAAAATTTAGAAAAACAGAACTGCTCTGATTAAAAATCATGCAGCTGATTTAGCCTAATTCTCTTGAATTGTCAACCTGCTGACATTAATTTTTCCTCAATGAAACCCTGAAATGCTGAAATGCTGGAAGCATGCTTTTAAATTTTAATTAATTAATTAATTAATTTTTGGTACTGAGATTTGAGCCCACAGTTGCTTAACCTGAGCCCACTGAGCCTCATTCCCAGATCTTAGTATTTTATTTATTTATATATTTTATTTTGATATGGGGTCTTGCTAGGTTGCTTAGGATCTTGCTAAACTGCTGAGCCTGGGTGTATAGGTCTGCCATCATAATTTTTGATTGAAGGAATGACTGAAGTTAGAAAATATCAGTCATAAAATGCAGAAAAGAGTTATTATGTTATAAAATGTCAGCTTTATCTTTTTCAGCTATAACCTAAAGCCAACTTAGAGCTTCTGTGTCAGTTCTAGGAATTCTCACTTAGGATGCCCATTTAGCTTTCTGATTCAAGTACTGAGGAAAGAGGAGGAGGGTGATACTGGAGATCCCTGAACTGAGTCTATTCCTTCTTCCAGGATGAAGCTGTCTGTTGCCTCCACCGAAGCCCATTCTTGTTTCAGATCTACTCTTTGTTCACTAATATTACTTATATACCTACACAACTTTATTCTGAATGAGAAACTGTGTAAGACTTGTCATTGTGTTTTAAGATAGAAGATGGGATGCAGTGGATGGAGAAAGCATTCAGAATTCCTGTTACCAATTCTACCACCTTAAAATCTTCAGTGTATTGCTAAGAATTATTCTCTTGCAAATTGAGTGTACATGTCAGTTGTTATCTCTCACTCTGCTAATGTCTTGAATCTTACTCTGCCTGTTCTTTTGTGTGGAAAATAAGTGGTATTTTAACTTTTTGGCATAGTAAAATCAGAATTCTGTGCAGTTTGGTGGTTCCTGCACAACTCTATAACTCTTAAAAAGTATTATAATATTTTCCATGTGTAATGATTTTTTTTCCAAGTGATCTATAGTAAGCAACCCATTAGGAAAATATAAAAAACTAAACATCTATAATTTTATACATACAAGTTTCCTGGAGAGAAAACTTAAACTATTCTCTTTCAAATATTGCATTAGCTCTATTTATCCTAAATAATATTTTCCCTTATCAAAGATTATATAAAATATGTTATAATTTCTTCAATATTTGCATGAAACTAAATGTAATTGGGTATCCCATACTTTATCTGCAAATCATTTTGAAAAATATAATTAATCAATAGATTAATATTTCTAATTAATAATCAGTTTTTCAAATATTTATGACATCCTTTCGCTTCCAATTTCCAAATACTAATAGAAAAAAATAGGCCTAGGACACCTATTTGATACATAGGACTTAATGATTTAAAGCACCAGAGTACTCCAAGGAACCCCATTGCACAAAGGTGATAATGTTTTTTTGTTGTTTATTTGAGCAATCATTTGTCATTTGCCATAAAAGTGTCTATGGTCTATGAGAAATTACCAATACCCATGTAATCAAGATCAAAGACACTTCTTATCCACTTACCTTACTGAAGAATCGAAAATTATCTCAGTTTATACAACCTTTTGCTCTGGGTAGGAAGAATTTATAGTTTTTCTCCCAGAGATGATCCCAGAGGAATTACCATCTAATTGTGCAGAACATGATGCCCAAATCTTCTGAGAGGTTTAAAGATATGCTTTAATATGTCTAACAATTATCTAAGAATACTTACATCTTTCCCAGGGGGAAAAAGTATAGGAAAACTTAAAGAAAGTAACAAATTAGTAAAAGTATCTGTGTAATTCCATGGAGTCCTACATGATATAATGGTACTCTGTAACTCATGATGAGTCAACACTTAAATTAGCAGCTGACTAGCTCAGGAAATACTATAGTTGGATAGCCATTGCCATACCACGCTGCATTAAATCAGTTGCAATGCAATGATTTGTATTATATTCGTATGTAATATCCTATATATTCAAATGCTGTTGGATAATGTTCAGTATAACTTTTTTTGTTGTTCAATATAATCTTAACAAGAGTAAAATCTACTGTTAGTGGACACCACATCTCTAATTACTTTCTATCAATGTCACTTTTATTTATGATTTCCCTATTAAGAAAAATGTATATATATGTATAAACAGTGATAAATGAGTACTTTTCCATGTGCTTGTTGATTTTTCTATACTTTCTAAATTTCTGTCCTTTAGCCAATTTTGAATAAGAGTGGTTTTTTTTTAATCTTTTGGATTAAAACAAGTTTTCTAGATCAATATAAATCTTTGGATTTTATTCTGGAAATTATTTTGTGTTCATATTATGTTATCTTTTTCAGTATTGTTCTGTGCTACATAGCAGAGCTATTGTAATACTGGTTGTGAGAGAAAACAGCCTCCCACCCACGATTTCCTCATATAAAAGATGAATTTTGATGCATGGGATGGAGTAGGAGAAGCCAAAAATTTAATGAAGCCATACTCCAAGGTCCAGGTTCACAGAACACTCTCAAGAATATAAGTATTCTGGAGAAATAAGAACCAG